CTGTGGCTTTGGGGGCTCCCCAGCCGATGTCCTGGTGTGTTGAGGTATCTGTCCCCAGGCATTCAGTACTCCTCCAGAGCTTACCCAGACTGACTTCTCCTCCCCAGCCCTTTCCCGGGTTCATGGATACTCCCAGGCCTCTCTGCAGGCAGCAGAGCCCCCACCTTGTTCTTGGCCACGTGAGTCTATGCTCCCTCCCCAAAGGAAGCCGGTGGATCTTTCTAAAGCACAACCGTGGTGCTGTCTCTCCACTGCTTATCACTCTTCCTGGCTCCACAGTGCCCTGGGGCTGGAGCTTCTCAGGCTGGCAGCTGGTTTCCATGTTCCACTCGAGTTCACCTGTCACTATACCTCTTCTACCACCTTGGCTCCCACCACACCAAACTCCAGCTAGTTCGAATGGACACTCCTCTTTCTTCCTTTCTTAGAAGGCCCCTCTGACCTGGGTTTTCACTGTATATTCTTTTTTTTTTTTTTTTTTTTTTTTTTTCTGGTGTTGGGGATCGAACCAGGGCCTTCATAGTGAGCTAGAGCCTCAGCCCTTTTTAATTTTAAGACAGGGCCTCATTAAGTGGCTAAGTTGCCTAGGCTGGGCTTGAACTTGTGATCCTCCTCCCTCAGCCACCCGGAGTGCTGGGATCACAGGCATGTGCCAACTGTGCCCTGCTTCTTTATATATTTAAGAGTACTTTCCTTTGGGCAGGAATGGGTACATAATTTGCAGGGCCCACTGCAAAATGAAGATGGAGGAGGGGGAACCTATTAAAAGAATTCCAAGAAGGTGGCAGCAGGGCTTTAAATCAGGTGCAGGGTCATTGCAAGTGTGGGGTGCTGGGTGGCTCCAGGGGCTGCATGGCTATAAAGCGAGCCCTCTCTTCTAGAAATCTTCAACTGTTCCCCATCTCCCAGGCTCAGTTGAGACTCCCCTCCTGACTGCCAAAGTCTCCTGGACTTCTATGAAAAGAGACTCCCATCATTCTTGCCTATGTTTTCCTATCTTAGCCCTGACCACTCTGGCTGCCATCCTGTGGGTTGCTATTTGCTCCACTAGAATTGGAACTGTGAGAGGGCAGGGTCTGGGCTACTTGGTCATCACTATGTTCCCAGCATCACTACACAGAAGCCAGGCATCAGTGTCTATCCTTGCTTTTGCGAAGCATATGAAGGCACAGATACTATTGAGCGGCAAGCAAGGGCCACCAGGTTCCATGCAGGAGAGAGCCATCTACTGTGAGAGCACCCTGTTACCTCATTCTTCCACCTATGGGCCTATGGAGAGAGCTGCAAAAGTTTGGCCTTAGTGGAGGCCTTGCAAAGGATCATGGGTATCTCCAGACACTCAGGCTGCTGCCAGACTTAGCCACATCAAGACACTTGTGTTGGATGTGGCAGCACACGGACAAGGGAGAAGTGGAGTATCAGGACTGACTACAGTCACTTCAAGAAAATGTTGCAGTAGCTTGGGCTTGGGCTCCAGATTGTGCAGGCTGCTTTCCAAAGACAGCCAGGGAATGAACAGAAGTAGCACTCCCAGAGCTCAGAAAACTGGTGGACTCAGCTGAATTTTAACTTTAAATCCTAGACACATGTGCTCATTTGTTTCTGTACAGAGTTAAGGGATGCTCTGGCATCCTGTGAGGACCATAGGGATCCATGCTAGAAGGACGAGCCTGGCCCATGTTCCTTACTTTCAAACCTGTTTTTTTCTTTGTTCAGTACAGGGGATTGAATCCAGGGCCTTTGCACAAAGTTACAACCCTTTAAAGATATTTAAAAAATCCTTTAAAGTCCTTTAAAGATATTTAAAAAAAAACATTTTGGGGCTGGGGATTTAGCTCAGCGGCACAGCGCCTGCCCAGCAAGAGCAAGGTTGTGAGTTCGATCCCTGGTACTGGAAAAAAAAAACAAAAAAAGAGAACAAAAATGCTGGGGATTTAGCTCAGTGGCAAAGCGCTTGACTGGCAAGCGCAAGGTCATGAGTTCAATTCCCGGTACCAGAAAAAAAAAAAAAATTTAAAAATAAAAAAAATAAAAATATCTTTAAAAAAAATTTTTTTTTTGAGACAGGATCTCACTAAGCCATTACCTCCCAGAGTGCTGGGATTACAGGCATGTGCCACCACACCGGGCCTTCTGCTTCCAGACTGTAGTAAGTGACCCCTGGCAGTCCCCTGAATTCCCATTTCAGGTCCTGCATTTTCTGTGTTCACATCACTCTGACCAGCCAAGCCTCTGCTTTTCAGCCTCTCTCCACTGTCTGCCTGGTACTTGGACCTTGGAAAGGTCCTCCATTCCCATACTAAGGAGAAGCCAGCTGCCCCACTTACAGATGGGTCTGTGCATATCAGAGACCAGGGTCCTATGGCTTTCAGTAGGGGATGCAGACCTGTGGCAAAATAATATCAAATCTCCCTTCAGTCCATCCACTTCAGGGCTCAGCCTGGTCCAGATCACCCTCTGCCTGGACCATTGCAATATCCTCCTTCCTTTATTCTCCACACACCAACAGATGTGCCACTGGAGCTTCCATGAGATCAGGGAATGCTACTCTCCTTAGAGCTCAAAACCCTCCCGTGGCTTCTCAGGCCACTTGGAATGAAACAGACTCCTCCCAGCAGCCTCCAGGGTTCTGTGTGTGGCTCCTTCCCGCTCCCCAGTCTCAATGCGATGTCACATCCCTTTCCTCACCCTACCTCCAGCCCTGTCCTCCTTCTCTTCCTTTTATACACCACGCTGTTCCATGTGCATGGAATGGCCTTTCCACCCTTTGCTAGTTAACTGCAACCTGAGCATCCTCTGGGACAGAGCTGAGGCCTCACGTCCTCCAGGAAGCTTTCCTCAACCTCCCTTCATTGGGCAGGTCCCCTGGCTAGAGGGTCTTACAGCTCCACATCTCTCCGGCATAGTCCACGGATGCTTTACCCTTGCTTGTGACTATTTAACATTTGTGTCCCCACCAGATGCTGAGATATGTGACAGCAGGACCTGTACCTATATTTGTTCAGCACTCAGTCCCCAGCGCATCGCACACAGTAAAGATTGATATTAAAAAAAAAAAAACAAAAAAAAAAACCAAAAAACTCAAGCATTGGGGAAGTGCACTCTGGCTCCCCCTCCAGGCAGGAACTGGTATTTTCTAGCTGACACTAGGCCCACTCCCTGGGTCTCACTCCCTCTTGCTTATGACCTGTCACCCAAAAGGAACTGACAAGAGGAAGGACTCATGATGCTTCTGGGGGGTGGGGCAGTCAGACCAGGTTCCTGGACTCGGGTTGTTCCTATAGGCTAACAGAGTAATATTTCCAAGGCCACAAGAGCTGTGGCAGAATCTAGGATTCGTTGGCCCATCAGGACAAGGTCATGTACACCAGGTCATCAGAATGGCCAATCAAGTCTTGAACTCTCTTCACCATGCTGCTCACACCAGCATCACTCCAGACAGGTGATGGGCCCCAAGTTTCCTCCACATTCCTGCCTGGACCCCCTCCACATTAGAAAAGCCCCTTCCCGGGTTCCTAGTGAGGGCTGCCATTTCCTAGGCCAAGTGTGGGTCCTACAAACTTCAGGAGACCTAGGGCAAAGACAAAATTCTAGATCAACCTGACCCAGGCTCCAGCCCACAGAATTGCCGGGCCTACACTTTCTGTCTATACTTTCTTACCTCCTACTCTCAAATCCGCTGAATGTGGCATCTGCCCCCACCAATCCCCTAACAATGCTCTACCGGGGTTACTGCAACCTTCACATTATCAGGCACAACAGTCAGTTCGGTTTGAATTGCTTGGTTTTCTTCCCCTTGTCCCGCTGCCCGATGCTCCTGTATAGAGTTTGTGAGGTTTTATCTTTGTCTTTCTCTTAAATATGGAGAAGTCATAGTGGCTGGGAGTTGGGACTCCTCTCAGAGGCCATCTCACCCCACGTGGTCTCAGTTCCCATCTCTGGCTACAAAGTCCTATTTTTGTCCCCAACTCCAGCTTCAGACCCAGAGTCCTCTGGCCTCCTGGACAATGCCCCCCCCAGACATCCTCCGGACGCCCACAGGCACGGCATCCCACACCAGCCACAGCATCTTCCCCAGACATGCCCTTCCTCCTTGGTCTTGTCTTGGGCAGTCCCCCCACCCCCTCCCCAGGCCAAAGCCCAGGCCTTGTCCTGGACACTCCCTCCCCATGACCTTCACAGCCCCTCTACTCGGCTTCCTGAATGTCTGTGCCACCCACTCTGTTCTCCCCGCTAGTCCTGCCCTGGTCTGAGTTTCCCCCCCGACTCAGATCCCTGCCCTGGCTTCCCCCTGGGCTCCCAGCTTCAAGCTCCTCCTCTGGCCCACCTTCCTTTAGAAGGATCTTCCTAAAGGCAAACGTGACCCTATCCCTCCCCTGCATAGAATCCTCCATGACTCCCTCACACATCAGGCCACCACCTGAGCTCCTCAGCCTGGAGTTCCTGCACCCTGCTCAGCTCTCTCGCTTCCCTTCTACCACAGCAGCCCCAGAGCGTGGTACACACTAGGCTCTTGCATAGCTGTGTTCTCCACCTGGAACAGCTCTCCTTTTGTTCTCTGCCCTATTATCTCCTTCAGATATTTCTCTCAGACCCAATGTCTCCAATTCCAGGAAGCCTTCCCTAACCACACCCTAGGCTGAGCCAGGCACCTCTTTTGGGCTACACAATCCCCTAGGCTTTCCTGGTCACATCCCTGGTCTCCCTGGATTATCACTGTCTGAAGACCGGTCTGTCTCCCACTGGACTTCAGGCTCCCTGAGGGCAGGACTCAGAGCTGTCTGCCTCACTGCAGTGATACTCCGCACAGACCAAGCCCAGGCGGCCCCCTCCAGGAATATCTGTGGACTGGATGGATGCGCACTCTCAGCCCCCGCCCCCAGGGGACTCAAACTGAACTGGGGAGTCTCTGGCAGAGGAAGGATTCCCCAGCCCCAGATCCCTGCAAGAATCCCCCAAGCCCCACAGACAGAGACAAGGGCAAAGGCCCAGGCCCAAGCTTAGAAAAATAGGACTTTCTTGTTGTGCCCCAGTGCCCCCGACACCCTCCCCATCAGAGTTTTAAAAACCGTGAGCGATTTGGTGAGTCTGAGGCCAGGTCCCGCCGGGTGTCCAGGTCCTGTTATCCCTGGGGCCAGAGGAGCCATAGAGGTGGGCACCCGGCTAGGGTCCCGCGGGTTCGTGGCTGGGCCCCCAGGGCTCGCAGTCCAGCTGGACCACGGTGTGGGCCCTGGGTGCAGCAGGCTCAGGGACAGGTGCAGTGGGTGTGGGTCCCAGGGCGCCGTTGGTCTGGGAGCAAACGCTGCTGACGGGTGCCGAGGCCTTGGCCTTGCCAGGGGGCTGCCCGCCGTGCACCTTGTAGCGCATGAGCAGCACGAAGATGAAGACCAGCACCGAGGCCACGATGACCCCGCCCAGCGCGATGATCATCGTGCCGCCCAGGAAGGGTGCGTGCGGGGCGCCGCACGGCCGCAGCGCAGGCTCGGTGGAGAAGCGGGCGCAGCCCACCGGCCGCGTGGCCGTGAGCCCCGTGGCACCATCCTCATACACGGCGAGCACACACAGATCGTAGGTACGGCCGGACGCCAGGTCGGTCAGCAGGAAGGAGCGGCTGTCCGCTGGGATCATCCTGGAGGGACAGGCACGTGGGGTCAGGTCTCTGGTTGCTCAGCGTTCACCCTCTGCTCTTCCCCGACCCGAGGCCCTGCGGGGCTAGCTTCCCTCCAGTCCACTGTCTCATTTCTAGCCCATCGAGTTCCCTCCAACCAGCATCCCAACTTCTTTTGGACTGACACCCTTTCACCCACGTTCTGCTACCCGTCTATTGTTAGTGAATTTCACTCTAGTCCCTCCCCCCCTCCCCCCAAATTCTGCTCTGGGCGCGATGCCCAATTCTCTGCAGCCCACCACCGGAGGTCCTCCGCTTCCAGTATTTATACCCAACTAATACCTCTCCTTCACCACCACCCAACTGCCTCCAGCCTGCAGCCCAATTTCCCTGTAGCTTCCCTGCCCGTTCTGCCCCAGTTCCCTGTCTGCTTTCACTCTGGACCCTCCACCCAGGTTCCCTCCAGCCTTGCTGTTAGGCATCTCCCCATTCACCGCCCAGTTCTGCTCTACAGCTACTAGTTTCCTTCTGACCTAATCTCCTTTCCTTTTAGCTTGCTGGGCACTTTCCTTCTGATCTCCCTCCAGACCCTCACTCACTTTCCTTGTGGTTCTCATCTTGTCTCTAATTTCCCAGAATTTTCTTTAATCCTTTCATCTAACTACCTGATTCCCCTATACCCCTGCTGCCTGATTTCCTTCTAACTTGCCAATAAATTTCCCACTAGCCCCATTGCCTTTTTATTATCATACACAGTGTGTTTTCCCAGGGAGTTCTGTCATCCGAATCACCACTGATTTCTTTTTCTCCCTGTTGCCTTATTTCTCTCTAGCTCTGTCAGTGAATTCCCTTTTATCTCTATTGCCTGGTTTCTATTTATTCTTACCTTTCCCATTTCCTTTTATCCTTACCACTCAATTCTATTCTATTTTCTTTTGTCACAGGGTACAAATCTCCTGTTGGAGATTTAACTTTTTTTTTTTTTATAATTTGTTTTATTCCTAAACTGCTTTAATGAGAGTGGTACAGGGAACTCCAGGGTTGCTTGTAGTAGGGTGACCATCTAAGAGAGCATGTGTCCCGTCCTCCACGAGGGTGACCAGGACTTGTGTGATTTTCAGGGCTGAGATGGGATCTACTGAGCAGTCTTGTCTGAGAAAAGCAGCGGAATCAGGACTGAAAAGAAAATGAAATGATAATCTCTTGAAGTGTGGCCCCAGGAGAGGGAAGGGGGCCTAGGTACTAGTTTCCAAGCTATGACCCCAGCCCTTAGGAGACCCAGTCTTTGCAACCAAGCCTTGGGGACTGCACCGTTGGGTCAGCCTGGCACTAAGGACAGGAAGGCATTTACAGCCACCCATGCAAGGCTGAACTCCAGTGAAAAGGTCAGCAGCCACCACTTCTGACCATATGTGTTCACAGCAGATATCCCAAATGCTCTCTGGCTTGGGGACAGAAGTGGTACTGACCCACCTCATGGAGTGTCTCAACTCTAGGTTTTGTGTTTGAAACCATGGAAGAGAAAAGAAAGCCTCCAAGACTGGCAAACTGGATCTGTTTTGTTTTTGAGACAGGGTCTTGCCATGTACTTCAGGTTGGCCTTGAACTCACTATGTAGCCCACATGGGCCTCAAACTCATGGCAATCCTGCTTCAGCCTCCCAAGTATAGGGATTCAGGTGTGTGTTATCACACCTGGCTAAACTAGATATTTCTATTCACATAGCAAGTAGAGCTTGCACTTGGTTTTTATTTTATTTTGAGACAAGGTCTTGCTAAATTGCTGAGGCTGTCTTCAAACTTGCAATCTACCTTCCGTAGCCTCCTGAGTAGCAGAGACTTCAGGTACATATCACCATACCAGGCCTGTTTCATTTGATTTAGCCAATAAAAAATTTATGTCACCATATTAGAACTCCAAACATGTAGGGCTCACACTACGTGAATACGAAGCCTAGTCTCTATTTAACCTCCTTTCCTTTGTAATAGGTCTATTTCATTTCATTTTTCCTGACATGCCTGTACCTTCCTGCTTTCTTGCTTGATCTCTTTTTCTTCCTGCAGCCTGGCTTGTGTCAAACCATCATGTGGAAAATCAGACTTCTCTCTCTCTTTCTCTCTCTCTCCTCTCCCCTTGCCCCCCAGTACTAGAGAATGAACCCAGCCAGAGCTTTTGCACTGTACTATATCCCCAGCCCTTTTTTGTTTTTTTTTTTAGTTTTCATTTTCAGATAGGGTCTTGCCAATTGCCACTAAATTGTCCAGGTTGGGCTATAACCCTCCAGCTTTAGCCTCCCAGCATACTGGCATTACAGGCATAGGCCACCACGCCCGGGCTTTCTCTTTATCTTTATGGCTGAAATTTGGTTTTATTCCCTTGTGCCCATTAACTTTTTACTCCTTTGTGTTGATTATTTTTTATTACTGCTAATTAATTTCCTTTTTGTTTGCTACATTTATTCTTGCTGCCTTCTTCCTTTTTTACCTCTGCAATCTGATTTCTTTCATCATTATTGCTTGATATTTTTTGGCCCTGTAGCCTAATTTATTTTAACATGTGCTAACTATTTTATTTTATCCTGGCTGCTTTCTTTTTACTACTGCTGCCAGCTTTCTTTTACCCTTTCTGCCTGATTCTTGTTATCCTTGCTGCCTAATGTCTTTCACCTTTGTGGTATGATTTCCTTAGCAACCTTGTAGCAGCTGTGCTTTAGGACAGGGTATCTGGAGATGTACCCTCAGTTCCCCCACACCTCACTCCCCCACCCCAGCTGCCCCACTGCCTGGCCCCTGCACCTGTAGACAAGGATGTCATCGGCTGAGCTGTTGTACTGGATCTGGTACATGCGGATGCCTGGGATAGGCCGCTGATCTGGCCACTGGACGAGGGCAGCTGTAGCCCCATGTTCAGTCACTTGGACACCACGGTCAGTAGGGGGCACGGTGTCAGCCACCTTGGCAGAGGCAGAGGCAGCAGAGGGCGGGGTAAGGGCATCAGGATCCCCGTCCCGCGGGGGGTCACAGCTGGTGCTATTGGCTAGCTGGGGAGGTGGCGGGGGACCCACAGTTAGCTCAACCGCTGCTGTGGCCTCGCCAGCCGCATTGGCCGCTATGCAGGTAAAGATGCCACCATCGCCCGGTTCAGTGACCAGCAGCTCCAGAGTTCCATTCGGGAAGGCACGGGCACGGCTCGAGTTGCCCAACAGCCGGCCCTGGGGTGATACCCAACGCACACGGGGTTCTGGGTCCCCTACTGCCCGGCAGCGCAAGGCAGCTGGCCGACCTGCAGGTACTGCCAGCGGTGGCGATCGGTGGGTCACCACAGGTGGCTCGCACACAAACTCTTCCTCACCCACGGCCCAGAAGTAGCGGCCCCCCAGGGCAGGTGGTGAGGCGCAGGCCTCGAGGTCATCCTCCCTGGCCAGGCGCCGCAGCCATACCAGCTCACAGTTACAATGCAGGGGGTTCCCACCAAATGCCAGCACCAGGGCAGAGGCAGGGGAGCCACGGGGCCGGGCGAGCAGCTGCAGGCGGGAGAAGAGTGGGTCAGGTGGGATGGTGGTCAGGCGGTTTGAGGTCATGTCAAGCCGTGCCAGCTTGTGCAGGCGGGAAAAGGCGCCGGCAGGCACAGAAGCTAGCAAGTTATGGTCCAGGCCCAATGTATTGACATTGCCCAGGCGGCCCAGGGCCTCCCAGGGCAGCTGCTCCAGGTTGTTGTAGGAGAGATCGAGGTCCTCAAGTGTCTCAGCACAGTCGTCCAGCGCACCAGCCGCCAGGGCTGCCAGCTGGTTGTTGCTCAGGATGAGGTGTCGCAAGTTGACTAGGCCACGAAGCTGACCCTCGCCCAGCGAGGTCAGCCGGTTGCCATCCAGGTGCAGGGCACGCAGGGCTCGTAGGTCAGCGAAGGCGCCAGCTGCCACATGGCGGATGGTGTTCCGAGACAGGCTCAGGTGCAGCAGGCCTGTCATGTTGGCCAGGTCGCGGCGGCGCACGGCCGCAATGAAGTTGTCCGCCAGGCGCAGCTCAGCCGCACGGCGATCCAGCGAGGGTGGCACGAACAGTAGGCCTGCCCCTGGACACAGTACACTGAGGGGCAGTGACTGGGTCTGGCAGCGGCAGCGGCGGGGACATGGGCTGGTTGTGGCTGGCTGGGGTGGAGACGAGGCAGGGGCCAGCGGCAGCAGGCAAAGGAGCAACGGGAAGACGGCCATTGCGGGTGGGGCGACCTGCAGGGAAAGGGGAGGCATCAGGAGTGGCAAGACAAAAGAGGGGGACTGGGTGGTCTGAGATGAGCAGAGGTCACAGTGAGCTAAGTGGAGGGGCAGAGCTGATCAAAGATGGTCAGAGAGAGGAGTAGCAGATCCAAAGCCAGAAGAGATGACCAAAGAGTCAGAAAGATGTGTCCCAGAGACAGGGGAAGCAAAAATAAACAAAGATGGTCAGAAGAGGGCCAGGGATATAGCTCAGGGGTATAGCACCTGCCTGGCAAGCACAAGGTCCTGAGTTCCACTCCTGGTACAAAAAAAAAAAAAAAAAAAAAAAAGATGGTCAGAAGGAAGGGAGATTGCTAGAGATAGCCAGACAACAGAGAAAGCTGGCCAGGATGAATAGAAGGTAAGCTAGAGGGCCTCACACATGGTCTAACACATGATCAAAGATGGCTGTAGAGAGAAAAAGTGATCAGGTGGGAGGGATGCCCAGAAGGGGTCAGATACGGCTCAAGAGAGGAGTGGTCAGAGGTGGTCAAGAAGACAGGCAAAAAGAAAGGAAGTGACTGGGGTGCTCAAGAAGATGAGAGTGGGCAAACAGAGGAGGTGGTTGGAGGTGGCCCATCCAGGAGAGCTGATCAATGATGGTCAGAAAGAGATGTGGTCAGGCATGGGCAAAAGCCAGAGAGGTGAGAGAGGAGAAAGGACAGATATATCCGAGTCAGCTGAGGACCAGGACAGATGGCCAGGATGAGGGGTACGGGAAGAGCTCATCAGTGGGAGGAAAGGCAGCCAGAGTTGGTGGACATGATCCGAGAAATCAATGAACAAGAGAGACAGAGAGCTGGGCGTGGTGGTGCATGCCTATAACCCCAGCAACTTGGGAGATAGAGGCATGAGAATCACAAGTTTGAGGCTAGCCTGCTGGGCAGTTCAGTGAGACCCTGCATCAAAATTTAAAGGATTAAAAGGGCTGGGAATGCAACTCAGTGGCAGAGTGCTTGCCCAGCATGTGTGAGGCGCTGGGTTCAATTCTCAGTATCAGAGAGAGGGAGTCAGAGAGACAGACAGACAGAGACAGAGATGACAGAGACACAGACAGAGACAGAGATAGACAGCTGAATAGGGTCCAGGGTGGGACAGCAGGCAAGAGAGATGGTGAAAGGTAGTCAGAGAGAGGGAAGGCAGAAGAAGCCAGAGAGGAGAAATGGACAGGGCAGCTGGGGAGAAAAATGGTAAGAGAAATAATGAGGAGTACCATGGACAGAGGTGTCCAAGCCAGTCCCTGAGATAAGCGCAAGGCAGAAGTGGCTGGAGAGGGAAACTGGGCAGGGGTGTCAAAGACGATCAGGGAGAGCACAGGTGAACAGAAATGGTCATTCGGAAGAGAGGTGGAGAGGCCGGCATGGTGGTGCACGCCTATAATCCCGCACTCGGGAGACTGGGGCAGGAGATCACCACAAGTTCAAGGCCAGCCTGGGCTACATGGTGAGTTCAAGGCCACTATGAATTACACAGTGAGACCCTGTTTTAAAAAAAAAAAAAAAGAAAGAAAGAAGGAAGACAGGTGGACAAAGGGGACCAGGAAGAGCAGTGGTGGACAACAGAGGCAGCTGGAGATGGTCAGACAGCACAGATGGTAACAGCAGTAAGGGCAGTGGCGTCAGAGGCCTGGAGATACCATCAGCTGGGGATGAGGTGGTGAGAGGGGCAGAGCTTGCCAAGTGTCCAGAGAATGTTGCAGACAGAGTAGGAGCTGGAGGCAATGCCAAAAAAACCCGAGTGCCAAAGAGGACCTGCCTCTCACCTACTTCACCTCCACTCCCAGCCACAGAATCCCTTTCCAAGTCTCTCCCCACAGTGCGGGTCCCTCAGTGGCCTTACCTGAGCTGGAAGTCACCCCAGGGAGCAGAGTCCTCGGGCTCCAAGGGGGTCAGAGGTCAGGGCTCTCGAATGGGAGTCTGGTCATGCCATCTCTGTCCCAAGACTTCTGTGAAGACGCTGTTGTGTCTCAGCTCAAACCTGTGGCCACGAAGCCTCCAGATCTCAAAACCCAGGTCCCAAATCTCCAAATATTGGGCCTTTAGGGTCCAGTGTTAGAGATCCAGACCCAGTTTTGGTTGTTCAGGGCCAGGGTCTTCCAGCTCCAGTCTTGGGGTGCCAAAGAGCCCAATGGAGATCAGGGTCTGAGTTCCAAGTTCCTGTCCTGGAATCCGATATTGGGGTTCTGTGTTCAGATACAGGGATGCTGAGTCAAGATTTGGAGGTCTCACCCCAGATTTCAGCATTCAGGTCTGCAGCAAGGACTTCTGGCTCAAAATCGGGTTCAGGCCCCTTGGAGTCCTCAGGTTCAGATCTTGGAATCTGAGGCCGAAATTCCAAGGTCCAGTTTCCAAACAGTAAGTTCTTGGTATAGATTTGGAAATCCAGTTCCAGATTTCAAGGTGCGAGGCGCAGAATTCAGAGTTCAGCTCCACATTTGGGGGTTTAGATTCCAAATCCTGGGGTTCTGGCTCCAAATCTTGGGGTCCATGCTCCAAATCATGGGATTCAGTTTCCAAATCTTGGGGTGCCAGGGACCGATGCTGGGATTCCAGTCCCAGATATAAGGGTTCAGGGTCCAGGTCTCTGGGTTCCACGGCCGGATATTGACCCCAGATCAGATTCCCAGGCTGGGGTTTCTGGATTTCCCAATCCAATCTCGGGGTGCAAGACCCCGATGTCAGGTGCGGGCGGGCCCTGGGTCTGGGGTGACAGCGTCGCGGCTTGCCTCCTGGCCTGCGTCGGGGCTTGGCCCAGAGGGAGGGGGTTCGCTGCAGTTGGTAGGGGGGCGGCGGGGCAGCCCCAGGACCAGGGTGGGGCGAGGCCTGGGCGCCGACGGACAGACAGACAGACAGACAGGGACCGG